ATTTTGATACTGTTTTGTCCTACTCTTAAAGCAAAAATAAGGAGAGAATGTGGTAGATATGGGTAAGGTATGCCTATGCTACAACTGTAGTTTTGACCAAAGCAGGTAGATGTACATAAATTATTTTTAGATTAGTTACTATGCCACACGGATGGAAGTTTTAACTTCCCTTAGAATCATAGATAAGCTTCTGCAGCTTAAATGTCCATATCTTGATGGGTGATGCCTTAATAGCATTGATAGTGTCATGAATCTAAATAAGGTTGATACCAAGTGGTAGCAGTTGCTGGGGGATGGTATTACTGTGTCCTTTTTAGTATTTGTCTTTTGTCCTATTCAGTAACACTGAGCCCTGCCTCAGCCTGGTCCTTCTCTGCCCCTGTAATGAGAGAACTGTCCCATGTATGAACCTAATGAGGTTGGTGGATCCTGGGAGAAGAAGAGGCAAAGGAAGCCTGAAGAGCTCTGCTTTCAGCTTGGGCTGTACCTTCACCTGTGGGGTGAACTTTCTTAGGGCCAAGAAGATCGGATGACTTTGGGAGCAGGTATAATACTGAGCAGGGAACAGACACCTGCTCCCACTTGTTGCCACCAAAACCTCAGTATCTAGCAAAATCACTGTCTACTGGATCAGAAGTGCCATGCTTACTGGGACAGTCTGTGTCCTAGGAGAAGCTGGATGAGGTAGAAGTTGAGTCTAGGCAGGCAGTCTTGTGCCCAGAGAGAGTAAGGCTCAGTCTTCCAGCATTACTTCATACTTGTGTCCTCTTCCAGGGATTGAAGCCCCAAAATACCAGTCCCACGCTGCCAGCACAATCATCCTGACAGGGCAGTTGCTGTTCAGTGAGGGAGAAGAGAGAGAAATGGTGTCATCCACAGCCCTTCCAGTCCCCATTTTCAAAAGGCTGTATAATACCATCACGTTGTTTTGCTGTTGAGACACTGAAGGGCTGTTACCACAGCTACTGTCATGCTATTACTGCTGCCATGCTCTCTAGGATAAAACTAGCCCAGATCTGTGTGGACATGCTGCAAACATGTCTCTGGCTTGCAGCGTAGACATAGCTTCAGGACCTGGATCTTCTCTCTGTGCAGACACATAGTGTGCTCAAATTCCTGGGACATCTCCCATGTCTGTAGCAGTTGGAAGAGCATCAGCATGATCACGGCCAAGATGGTAAACAAAAATCCCCCAAACAGCTGCTCTTCATCTTCTACATGATTGTTTTAACCAAACACAGCCCAAGATGTGTGCTGTGCTAAATCTCTTCTGGTGTGAAATAAAGATATTAACTTGTTTTTTGTTAATGAATGGTAAATCTTATTGTGGAATAATAAGAGTTACAGCTGAGTAAAGTCTTGCTAAAATGCATAACTACAGCAGTGCAAACCCTCACAGTGCTGGCTTTTCAAATGTTTGTGTTTTCATATAGAGCAGCTGCTTATCTGACAGGGAAATTAAGGTTGGTAACATTTTCCATTTTACTCTGAAACCATCCTGATTCTGTCATAACTGTAATTTATGTCATGTTTCTATTTGGGGTCAGGTAGAAATGTGATAACTGGAAAAGAATTGTCAGTGTTATGTTGTGCCCTAGGAGCAATTAAATCAAGTCTCTCTACAAAGACTAAAGGTGCAAAAGTTTGAAAGAAAAGAAATGGAAGGGAAGTCAGCAGGCTTTCAGGTGTGTTCAGTGTCCTCACTCTGCCTAAGCCTTTGCTCTTCCTGCCATTTCTGAGATTTGGACAAACTATTTCATGGAGCAGTAGTAACAATAATATTTTGCTGTTATCTGTGTGATTAACAACTTTTATCTTTGCTGTTATAAACTCAGATTAAATTTAAAGCGAAAATCGAGACAACTATTTTAAATTTTTCTTCCTGGAGAAGGCCAAAGTTGTTAGCACAGCTGCCATGACTGGGTGTTTAAAGCTGTGGTTGTGTATTATATTCTAATATAACAGACCCACAGATGACAGGCACATATCAGGCCCTTGTTTCAAAGCTCCTTTTGGGGCCTTTGATCATTATATGCTGCTATATCACAAGTTGCAATGCAAGAATATTAATATATCTTCTTCATTTTCAATGCAAAAGGGTGCGTTAGTGTCATCTTGCCTGCTAGGTTGGTCTGACGGATGAATCTTGTCTCTAATCTGACTCATGTCCACACACATAAATCACACCGTGGAATGAAATGGTATTTGGGTTAGCTGGCTGAGCAGAGCAGCTGGGAGGAGGTTAAAAGCTTGAGCAGCGCTGACACTTGAGCTGGTGGGACTACAGCACTCAGGTTACAGCAGCTCATCAACTGCCAACCCTCTGGCTTTGCTGGTCTAGGCATTCTGCAACAGCAAAATACTATTTAGTGGTCTGATTGCTCTCAGCTTGCTCTCACTAGGGATCTGTCTGTTGTAGTCAGACTGCAGGGTAGGATGTCTTGTGTAAGCTTTAAATCAGCTACAGAGAAGAGGGCGGCTGTGCAGGAATTCAGTGCAAGCTACAAAAGCCATCCAGAACTGCACTGCACTGAGCTCTGGGCGGCTGAGATCACACCCAGCTAACCAGCTGTGCAAGGAAGTTTCAGTGTCCCAGCCCAGTGGCAGCTGCAGCAGTAGACTGAAGAGTAAATGTACCTTAGACTGACCTAGGAGGAATAACAAGATGCCTCTTGGAGTGAGAACATATCCCAGTGTGGTTCAGCCACTGGCAGGAGTAGCCAAAATTCAGGCATCAACTCTTGTGGCAGGTTGGAGAGTGAGATGGCAGAGGTGAAATTTTAACAATAGATCAGTTCTCGGGACTCCACTGCTAAGCATACAAAATGAGCAAAATGAAGTGTTTTGGTATACCAGCAAAAAAGCCCCATCCATTTAAAATACTTCACAAAATAGAACAGGCTGGTGGGAAAGAGCAAAATAAGTCTGGAAGAAGAGTGTGGTGGGTGTGTGGACACTTCTCTGTAGCTGTCTGCAGAAAAGCTAAATGCAAAATGCTGCCAAACACAACATACACAGAGAGATCTTAAGAAACCACAGGTTCAGTAAAACGAAGGAAAAAAAAAAAAATCCCAGTGCAGCTTCCTGGCTAGCTCCACCAGGTGACTCTGCCTCACAAAGGACAGTTCAAATTTATTTTTCTTAGCTGATGCATATTTCTACTGATGATGCTTTGGGACAGCACTGAAGAAGTTATCATCATGTGCTGTTTGCTTCTTGCTGCTGCAGAAAAGTGCTGCAGTCCAGGATGTATAGCCTACCTGTATAGCTAATTTGATATGCTATGGAGTTGAGGAGGAAGTTTGAACCCCTTTTTCTTGTATAAAAAGCTTCAGGCTAAAAAGTTGGGAGACTACTGATCTAGCCGTTTTCTTGAATGTAGAAAGTACAGGGTGTCAGTGACTGCAGTTATAAGCACATGATGCCTTGTCTACTCACAGTCCCTAAAAATAAGGTGCTAAGGAATTTATATGGGTTAGAGGCATTGATTTTCCACTACTCTGCATGTGAAATTTCTAAAGTGATGTTGGTAAATTAGTACTTGTAGGTAAATTAATACGTTGCCTTCCCGGTGTATTAATGCCAGTGCACTAGGGGACAGGCAGTGTTGCCTAACTGCTTCAGCAAAGAAGGTTCTTGGTCTTTGCCTCTGATGATAGGTGGTCAGGATGAGTCCCTTCTCCGTGCCAGGCCAGCACCAGAGTGTACTCTGCAGTGGCCCCTCACCTGCACCCTGGTTTTGTGGCCAGAATACTCAAATCTGTTGCCCAGAAGGGAGCAGTGACCTATTCTGGTCCAGCCCCAACCTAGAGGCCTCTGCAGTGGTCACGCTATGCTTCCACTTATGTACTGCTTTGACAAATATAAGTCTAAGTGAAAACGGTGTGTGAATTGCTACCATGTGCCTTATCTGTTTTGTTAAACAGGACAATATTTGCTGTTGTTTGCCACCTTTCTGATTTCCCCTCACTCAAAGCATCCATTGATGATTTTTTTTTTTCCTGATTTACACTAGCAGAAATAATTTTAGAATCAGGCTCTGTGTATTTATTTCAGTATTCTTTCAAGACTATATATGCTATGAAGTTTCTTTCAGACCCTCCCTCCCTCAACAAAATGTTAAAATTTAGATGTACTTCTTAACAGTTATGCTATTTGTATTCTGAATGTCACTTAATGTAGCCAGCAGAGAAGGATAGATAGGTTCTGTATTGATTGTATTTTCTGTCATTCTTACTTTAAGTGAGTGGTGCAGTATGAGGGTTACAGAATTCAGAAGGAGGTATACTTATAGTCAACTTTTTGACGGGATGTAGTTTTAATTAAAAGCATTTTTTAACCAGCACATCCTATATGAAGAACAGCTACATTCCTTTCACCAAGGAATGTGTTGCTTGATTGAGAACTAGTCTAAAAAGAAAGAAAAATATTGTGTTAGTTTTTTTCTTCCTTAAACTGCATGGAAAAGCACTGGAATATTTCTTTGCATTTAACAATAACTTTTTGTTACTTTAAAATTTCAAATTTCTGTGCTCTGGAAATTCTCTCTATGACTGAGAATGGCTGGGTGAATATCATCGTAGATTATTAACCTTAAAAGTCAGTTATTTTGGTGCAGACCATTTAATTGTGTTTCTGAAGCCAAGCTCCTATTTGTTCAGATCCCAGTGAAGAAGATTACCTACTAGAAAGATACAGCAACATCCTGCTCCTTTAGATGTGGCCAAGCCTGCTCTGAGTTCAAAGGACTTCATTGAAGAATCAGAGATGCTCACCATCAAAAGTCTGAATGATTTTGTGCGTAGAACCACTCCAAAAGGAAGAGCAAAGAGCAGGAAATTGTCTTTAACTTATTTTTGTCCTCTCTAGGTTACTGGACCAGGCAATTTTTTCTCCTCTTATTGTCCTGATGGATTTCAATGAGCAAAGGAGAAGAAAGGCTCAAAATACACTGTTGGATCTAACTTTTATATGTGTTATTTGCTTGCTTGTTTAACTAGGGACAGGGGGCCCTGTCTGAGAGACTAAGGAGCTTTAGCATGCAGGATCTCTCGACGATTCGTGGAGACAGCAGCAGCACTGTTCCTCCTTCGGTCACTGTACGAACAAGTAGCAAACAGAGTCAGCCAAAAACATCGAGAAGTGCATCGGAAGGCACTGGCAGCTCAGGTAGGTGCCAGCATTATTTTCAGTATTGTGTTGTCTGGAATATCACAGAGTTGAATGAAGTCATGCAGTTGGCAGGAATATATAGAAACAGACATTGCAGGCAGCACATACCAGAATTCACAGGACACAGACATGCTGTTGAGTCTCTTGGCACTTAGGAGAGAGGACACTATCATCACTTGATGGTTACTATTCCTGGCTGGTACCAAGGATGGGACTCAAGCATGCAAAGGAGCCAGCATCAATCCTTGCAATTTGAGCTGAAAGGTGAAGCTCTGGACTGGGGGCTGCAAGCCATGGTGAGTTTTCAATGAGAGGAGCTAATGGAAGTGCAAAAAGAGGGGATAAGAATGCACAGTAGTGGGCGAGGGTCATTATTATCATCAGAGCCACTATATGGTGATACAACCTCTCTCATGTCATCTAAACGTAAGTGCAAGTTCTAATGGATATCTGGCTTGAATTAGGCCCACTTGTGCTTCTTCTAAACTGTACGGTAGCTGTTACAACACTTGACAGTTATACTTTCTGAACTTTATCACTGATGAATCCTACTGAGAAATAAAACCCATATAAAGCACTCCTAGAAGCAGAGACCAAGGGTCTGACAGCTGTTTGTGATACGAAGGATGTCTGCATAAGCACTGTTATGGAAAACAAGTCTCTCTGAAGGGCAGTGGTTTGTTTTCAAATTCTGAAAGAACAAAGGGAAGAAACATTGCCCTGGGAATAAGGATCCATTCCTGAGGCTTTAGTTACAGACATTTATTTCAAGCTTGGTTAAAGAAATCTTTGTGGGCCTGGATCCAAAGCATTTAGTTGGAGATAGCTTTGCAGCTTAGATCTCAAGAATTGAGACATGGGGGTTTATCCCAAGCAGGGGGTTCCAGATGGTTTCTGGGATTCCCAAACACCACCAAAGATCATGCAACTTGACTGCTGTGATGAGAAGCCACAAAAAGTTGCAGGCGTGTTGCACTTGGTGGCTTGTGAAACATATGCTGGCAAGTTTGAAATTTAGCAGTTTCAGCTTGTGTGTATTGAGGTCTGTACAAACATTCACTGTGTTTCAAGCCTGTGTAGATTGCTACACCTTCTAGCTTGCTTTAGTTTTGGAATGTATTAGAAATGTCTTGTCTCATCCTTCTTAAAGAGTATGCTTCAAGCCTGTTGCAAATTATGAGAATTATAGCTCACAGACTTCTCTGTTTATTTTTTTAACATCATCTAGTGAATAAATTTTTCATTACAGGTAAACTGAAACAGCTAATATTGATGCACAGTGGTTTTATTCTGATGTTTATGTAAGGTCTTGTATGTAATCAATCTTGAAGTAATAAATCTGCAAGTGTTCACACACACAATATAAAACTCCTACACTAAAAAAAATTTCACATATTTAGACCAACATAACAAATGGCACAAATAAAGCATAATTTAGTTATCTTAATTCCATGTTGTGTAGAGCAGCCTTTGTAGTTTTGTTCTTAAGGCAGCGAACTCAGCTCACCTGGCCACAAACCCCTGCCTTAACACACAAAAGTTCTTGTGTTTGGTCTGGTTTCATATCAATACTGTACAGGGAGCTCTCAAAAGGAATCTCTGTAAAGTTGAATTGTTCATACACTTTTCAAATTGAGTCTAGTATTTATCACAAATTTTTGGAACCTAGTAATTTAAGATTTTGGTTTTAATTCTTTTAATGGAAACAACACAGATTTGCAGAATCTCTCCAAGACCTTTATGTGTACCGTCCTGCTTATTGATTTCATTGAGGTCCCTAATCTAGGAGCCTGCTTGCAGGCAGGCCCCTTCTCCACCTGCAGGCAGTACGAAGAGACACCTCCAGAGGGTGATTTCACTCACAGGTGGTGGCATCATGCTATATGGAAGACTACAGCCATAGTTTTTCTCTCACTTTTAATCAGATGAAGTGAAAGATATGGTCATGGTCTCTCCAGTCCTTGTGCTGTTTTGTGGGCACAATTATGTATGTAGCCAGAATGTCTAGAGGGGCGAATTGATCAGAGTCATAATTGGGGGGTGTGTGTGTGTGTGTAAGAGTGTGATCTACCAGCCAGACCGTATCACATCTTGAGGGCCATATTCAGGATGAGATGACACTGCTCTAGACACACCAAGCCCAGGCATGGTTCCATCACTGCACCTTCCATATTTGTTTAGTTGGACATAAGCAAGGGGCAGACAGAATTTGCTACTGCCTAACAGTATGCTATATATACGTGTAATATATACATGTATGAGTATGTGCACGAGCAGTTACTACAGAACAGCTGACACATAGCTCTTCTTCCTGTCCCAAAGCCCTCAGATAACACAAATATCCATGCTGGTCGTCCCCACTGCCTCGGAAACATTAGACTTCTCTTTATATTCCTGCTTTAGAGATAATGGGACACAGTCATTCTGACATCAGATGGAGTCAGCAAAAATACCCCTGACTGCCTGTCTGACACGAGGATGACTCAGCCAAAGACCTCACCTTTCTTGTTAAGAGGTCTTTCTAACTAGCTATTTGAAAGCCTGACAGCAGTACCTGGGATACACAAAACGAATTTAAGAACATTAATAGAGAGTCTGGCTGGGGCTGCAAACATTGTACTCTTGATCAGAGTAGAAATCCTGCTTTGTGGAGATTTTTAGGGAGGGCTTGAAGGAACGGGTCCTGTGTTTGCAGAAGAAGTAGTGTGGTGGTCGGGAGGCAAGACTGAGAGCTAGGACAGATGAATTCACACCCTGCTTTATTGCAAAATACTGGTATGACCTGGAGCACACCTTTGTTCCTCGGTGTGTCTGTAAACCAGAACAAATCGTACTTCACATGCCCAGGTCCTGAAAGTCACATGTGGTTGTGTATTTTAAGGTCAATAAGGATGCTTGTGTATTTTAAAGTCAGTACCTTAGAATATTTCTTACATGGTTTTCATGTACGCCTTACTTTAGTGATTATAACATGTAAAATACCTGTGGAAAATTCCTGTCTATGGATTGATCCCAGTTTTGCAAGAAGGTTTCTCTGTTTGTAGTAACAGTGCTCTGTCTTGTCGCTACCTCTGACAATTTTTGAACAACTGAAATGTCCCTTTTTATCTTTTCCCTTCTTTTATTCTGTCCTTTGTTTCCCAGTCCAGGCATCTGAGAAGCTGCATAGGGGTCTGCTGGGATCTTAATGACTTGCTAATCTGGTTCCCACTCTTACAGCCCTTCTGCCATTTGTTCATTCAGATGCTTCTATCCCCACCTATTTCCCTACATCCTCCATCCATACCAACCTGTGACAGTCCTCTGCAAGTGCAGCTCTGAGTGACTGCCTGAATTTACAAATGATCAGTAACTGTGGCAGGGACAGAAATCTGAAGTGTTATTTTGACTGGATGTGTTGAGTGCTCCCACACGTGGGGTTTGCCTGAGGAAGGGAGCATTGCTACACCACAGCCAACCTTACAGGTGGAGAAGCCAAGCACTGCTTGTAGCAGCTGTAACCCTTTTCGCTTCGGGACTGACATCCCCATGCCTGGGAAGTGTGAGTGAGCATCACTCAGTCCCTTGGGGGTCACAGTCTTTGGTGAAGGAATACGTACACAGGCTGCCTATGGGATTGCTTTTGTAGCTCCCTTTATTTCTCTCATATGGCTGTCAGGGATGCACAAAGGCGGAAGAATGTGTTTTCCATCTAGCACAGGCTCTTAATTTTCCCCACAGGAGAGACAGCCATGTCAAAGAGACAATAGCAGCCTTATGATAACGAGATGTCAGGTGCTACTCTCAGGTGAAGGAACAGCCTAACTATGGTCACTCAATTTGTCCAGCAGTAAAGAGCTGTGGACTTGGGAAGAAATCCTGAAAATCACATAACCACCCTAGAAAAAACAGGACTTATTTTCTCATGCTGCCAGGTTTTTACAGCAAAACTTGCTGGTGTGTGGGGAGCTGCCCTGCTGCTCTTGGTCTCAGTTTGTGGCAGTCCCTGAGCTGTGAATCAGTGAATGGTGGGAGCATGTCCTGAGGAGGTACTGCTGTTGCTTACCCTCTGATTAGACACTGCCCTCCACGGTCACTGCCAGCTATTGCCAGTGACTGGTGACAGACCTGATCAGACCTTTCATCTCAACTGGCACGACTGTTCTTAATTTCTTGAGTGTTATATTCACATGCCCATATTTTTTCTTGTTGCTTAAATCATCTTAAGGGGACGTGTGGGACCTACATTAAGTTAGTGTTTGATCCAGATTAAAAGTACTTTTAACTGTTTTTACTATATTTTAGGGATTATACCAGACCAATTTGCTGATCTGCCTTACTGTAAGCCTCCAAAATAACTGTTTTGGGAGACCTTCAGGGGAGTATGTTGTGAGATCAAGTGGCCAGGAACTAGGAGCAACTCAAGCCACCTTTGCTACTGAACAAATAGTTCATGGAAGCACACCCTCATCGTCAGGCAAAGACGAGACATGGCTCTTTAGATCAAGGCTACAGGAGTTTAGAAGCACCCCTCTCCCTGAGCAATGGAAACACAGCCAGATCTGGTGTGGAACTTTGTGTTGCTTAGTTCAAATCCTGTTGTGTGACTGTGTTTAAGAGCAGATACGATATCTGAAAGTGATTTTGAAAGACAGGGGAGTGAGGAGAGGTCTATTATCTTCCCTGCACAGATGAGACTGCTGAAACTCAGGTTTCTTGGTATGAACCACCACCCCACTCCCCTTGTGAGCATCAGAAGTGATTTGGGTTCTGGTTTCCCATCTCTCAGGCACGCTTCCAAGTGCACTGAACCCCGTAGAAAGACTCCTGACATCACTGGGCTTTGGCTCTGTCCAAAAGCTAGCTGCAGGAGCTACATTAAATAACTGCTCAGCTTATTTCATTTCCATTGTTGTTACTTTTATAATGTGACTGGTGCTGGTTAGATGGATTTGTGACCCTCTGAATCCTCTCTTGACACAAGCACCGTGTGTGAAGAGCTTGGCCTTTGATTAGTA